GTGGGGCGCCTGGGTGGCGCAGTCGGTTAAGTGTCCGACTTCAGCCAGATCACGATCTCGCGGTCCGTGAGTTCGAGCCCCGCGTCAGGCTCTGGGCTGATGGCTCGGAGCCTGGAGCCTGTTTCCGATTCTGTGTCTCCCTCTCTCTCTGCCCCTCCCCCGTTCATGCTCTGTCTCTGTCTGTCCCATAAATAAATAAAAACGTTGAAAAAAAATTAAAAAAATAAAATAAAAAAAAAGATGTTCAACGTGAGTAATTGTTAGTGACGTGCAAATTAAAGCCATAGTGAAATATGCCTTATTAGAGCAGCTAAAATAAAAAAAATACAACACCAAGTGCTGACGAGAATGCAGAGCAACTGAGACTCTTTTACATGGCTGGCGGGAATGCAGAATGACCCAACCACTAAGGAAAACAGGAAATTTCTTATAAAGTTAAATACACATCTACCCAATGACCCAGTAATCTAAGTATTTACCATTGAGAAGTGAAAATTTAAAATCACAGAGAAACCTATAAATAATAGTTTACAAAAGCTTTATTCACGATAACAAAACACTGGAAATAACTCCAATGTCCTTCTGTGGGTGAATGGATAGACTGTGGTACATCCATACAATGGAATACTACTCAACAATAAAAAGGAGAAAGCTATTGATACACTCAACAACAAGTATGAATCCCAAATATATCATGCTAAGTGAAGGAAGAGAGTCACAAAAGGTCGTGTACTGTATGATCCTTTTTTAAAAAATTTTATTTATTGTTGAGAGAGAGAAAGGGGAATACAGAGAATTCTAAGCAGGTTCCACACCATCAGTGTGGAGCCTCACGTGGAGCTCGAACTCACAAACCATGAGATCATGACCTGAGCCAAAATTAAGTCAGACGCTTAACTGACTGAGCTACCCTGTATGACCCCATTTATATGGCATTCTGGAAATGGCAAAACCATAGGGAAAGAGAGCAGATTGGTGATTGCCAGGAGCTAGGTGTTGGGAAGGGTCTACCTACAAAAGGATAGCACAAGAGAATTCTTTGGAGGTGTTGAAATCGTTCTCTATTTCATTTGTTGTGATTAGTATAAGAATTTATGCATGTGTTAAAACTCATTCTCTGAAGAAGCAGTTGGCTTCTTCTGTTAAAAGGTGTTCCTTGGGGCACCTAGTTGGCTTAGTCGGTTGAGCATCTGACTTTGGTTTAGGTCACGATCTCGCTGTTCATGAGTTCGATCCCCGCGTCAGACTCTGTGCTGACAGCTCGGAGCCTGGAGCCTGCTTTGGATTCTGTGCCTTCCCCCTCTCTCTGTCCATCCCCTGCTCATGCTCTGTCTCTGTCTCTCAAAGATGAATAAACGTTAAAAAAAAGAAAAAAGATGTTTTTCCTGGAATACGTCTGGTTGATAGGCCTCTTAGAATTTTCCCAGAATTTGTCTCATGCAAAGGCAAGTGCTCTGTGTAAAAAGTTGGACTGGTAGCATCTTTGTGTGTGTGTGTATGTGTGTGAGTGCACATACACACACACTCTTAGAATCTCCTGTACTTAACTATTTGTTTGAACAGATAATCCATGCACATGATTCAACATTCTATAGGTGCCAAGTCTCCTGTTTATTAGAACATATCAGTTGGGTCTGCTCCAGCTTTTACAGTTGGGGCCCATTTTAATTGTTCGGTGCCGAGGGCCATGTTGGTTATTAAATACGGGCAGTATAAGCCTTGAAAGACTATCAAGTGAAAGTCCCCCTCCGTTTTGTATCCTGGCCCCTCCTTTAGTTTCTGTAATCTTCAATATAGAGGCAGAGGACATTTCAACATTGGCCTATATGACATTGCCCGGATGGGCATTTTAATGACCCTTAACAGTGTATGGCAATGCAAGATAGGAAATCTTATCCCAAATCTGTCTCTGGCATCCCTCCAGCCTTCCTCCCAGGGCTTTTCCATGCATACTCCTCTGTCCCTGCACATCAGCCTCGCCTCTCTGATGTTTGCCTGGGACCGGGTTCTCACCCTGCCTGTCACCTGGAACATCATGTCGGGAACCAGGGCGAATGAAAAGCCTCAGGACAAACCAGGCACATGTGCCCAGGGCAGCAGTTTTTCTAGGTGATAAAACAGCACAAATGTCATCTTAACCCAGATGTCAGCTGAGTCTACCTCGCCCAGGGGTCTAACCTTCAACCTGGGGTGCACAGATCCTCACGGTGTCCATGGATACATTTCAAATGATTTCATGTACTTAGATGAGAGAAAAATCATAACTTTATTTTCACTCACCACTGAGTGGAAGTGAGCATTTCCTTCAATTGTCAATGTAGGCGACAAATCACAGAAGTTATCTCAGGACCTGCACCATCATCGCCTGCAGAAATCAGATGTGTTTTTTGTTTGTTTGTTTTTAAAATGTTTGCCTACTTGTGAGAAAGAGAGAGAGAGCGAGAGAGAGAGAGAGCGCGCGCGCGTGCGAGTGGGGGAGGGGCAGAGACAGAGGGAGACACAGAATCTGAAGCAGGCTCCAGGCTCTGAGCTGTCAGCACAGAGCCCGACGTGGGGCTCGAACTCACGAACCGCGAGATCGTGACCTGAGCCAAAGTAGGATGCTTAACCAACTGAGCCCCCCAGGCGCCCCCCAGATGTTTTTATATTATATTATACTGGTTACAGATACCTCACACTTTTTTAAAGCTCGCCATCACCTCAACTGACAGCACCTTTGCACTTGCTAACACTTGCTACTTTATTATGTCACAAGTTTGGGTTCCCCCCTCCCACCGATGTTCTGATGGCTTCCTTTTCTTTAAAATTTTGTAATTGGTTTTCTTTGTAAAACAATATATTTTTTAAGCTTTAAAAAACATTATTCTTGGGGCGCCTGGGTGGTGCAGTCAGTTAAGCGTCCGACTTCAGCCAGGTCACGATCTCGCGGTCCGGGAGTTCGAGCCCCGCGTCAGGCTCTGGGCTGATGGCTCAGAGCCTGGAGCCTGTTTCCGATTCTGTGTCTCCCTCTCTCTCTGCCCCTCCCCCGTTCATGCTCTGTCTCTCTCTGTCCCAAAAATAAATAAACGTTTGAAAAAAAAAAAAAAAAACATTATTCTAGACAGAGGTCTGTAGGCTTAGCAAAGTTTTGAGACTTGTGTGTCACAAATAGTTAAGGGGTGCCTGAGTGGCTCAGTCGGTTAAGCGTCTAACTTCCACTCAGGTCATGATCTCATGGTTTGTGAGTTCAAGCCCTACGTGAGGCTCTGTGCTGACAGCTCGGGGCCTGGAGCCTGCTTCAGATTCTGTGTCTCCCTCTTTCTCTGCCCTTCCCCTGCTCACACACACACACTCTCTCTCTCTCTCAAAAATAAACATTTAAACAAAGGAAATTTTTTTTAAAAGTTAAGATTTCCCAGGAGCCATAGATTTGGAGATTCAAGTAAAATGGACTGACCTTCCCCTCATCCAATATCCCCTCCAAAATCCTCATGACTTCCTGACAGCTTACATTCTCCTACGTTCAGGGTCCCCACAGAACTTCATCTCAGTTGCGTCTCTCCCCACTTCTCCACGTCCGGCATGGGGAACACGGCCCCCTTTCCTTGATTTACCCCGAACACATTGATACATGTGTTTAGACCCAGGGGGGAAAGCAGAGTGGCGACAGGGTGGGGATCAGGAGATGCAGAGCATGACGGAAGACTACGGACTGAATATTGGGCATCTCAATTCTTGAAAAGTCCTGGGGGGGCATCTGCCCCAAGGCCAGATGTTCTGGTGAGCAAGGGGCAGCCTCTGCTATGGGATCTTTCTCCTTCTCACGTAAGCATCTTGGGCTGCTGCCAACCCCGGGATTCCAGTTGATCATTCACTCAGACTCATTTCACATGTTCCCGCTCTCACCCCTGCCCACCCCATCCGTGCACGGAAGTCTCTGACTTCATAATAACAAAGACTTTTCTCCCTGAGGGGACCTCTGCTAGCAATGAAAGGAGCCATTATTTTCCCTTCGTTCTTGGGCAGTTTACACAAATCTGAAGGTAACTCGAGAAATGTGTAAATATTTTGGAGCTCCTTATGGCTGACTTTGAGTTCCACTCTCCTTTACCATCAGAATATCTGTGGAGATGTTTGAAAATATTGCTTTGGGACTTTAGTGAAAACAAAAGCTGATAGAGGGAACTACACGCATATGAAATAAAATCCAAACTCCTTTATAGACAACACGGTTTGTCTCCAGCCTCGTCTGGCCAGTCTCTTGTTTCGTCCACTATGTTCCAGCCATACTGAACTTCTCGCAGTACTTAGACTACCCAGAGCTCTTTTTAGCCACAGGGCCTTCACACCTGCTGTTTCCTTTCCTTTGCACTTTGCTCTTTCCTTCTGCCTTCTATCCATGGGCTCCTGCTCTTCTTGGAAGAGCATCTTCTCAAGGAGGCTTTTCTTGATTTCTCTTCCTGATACACTCCTCACCTCTACTGATCTGTGTCCCAGAACTTCTATTGTTTCCTTCATACCTCTTACCATAATCTATTTGTTACATTTTAGTATCTGTTTTCCCCACAGGATTTAAAGCCCCATGATGGTAGGGACTGGGACTGATTTGTTCATTGGTACATCCTCAGTACATAGCACAGTGCTGGGCTATTAGTAGGATCTCAATAAATACTCATGGAATGCATGATTGAATTTAATGTAAGGTATAGTTCTGTTTCTACAAGGGATCCCTGAAGATGTGAAAATTTCCTTATCAAAGGAATGAAATTATGATAGCTGAAAATATGCAAGATTATCTACTGGGGGCCCTTTGGACTGTTCGTACAGCCAGAGAAATTAATTTGAAGGGCTGACCTATACATCTAAGAGATACTTTTTTCCAAAGTTCTAGATTCAGAACAGTAAGGAATGATTGCACAATTTGCCACATATCAGATTCTCAAAGACACGATCCTTAGTAATTGTATGATGACTTTGGGGTTGATTCTGTTTTACAAAAAGTTTTATTCTTTAATCCACAGGTCACAGCTTTCGTCTGCGTGAACACACATGGCTTTGTTACGAAAAAGTAAGATCACACTTTTGACAATCATGATTATTAAAAATAGATATTTTAAAGGACTGTTTTTTTTTTATTTTTTAATGTTTATTTATTTTTGAGAGATAAAGACAGAGCGCGAGAAGGGGAGGGGCAGAGAGAGAGGGAGACACAGAATCCAAAGCAGGCTCCAGGCTCTGAGCTGTCAGCACAGAGCCTGACGCCGGGCTCAAACCCATGAACTGTGAGATCATGACCTGAGCCAAAGTCGGACGGCTAACTGACTGAGCCACCGAGGTGCTGCTTAAAGGACTGTTTTGATGCTGAGTCTTGAACTGTCTTATTTTTGAGATCTTTGTTTTCACGGATGGTTTTCCCACAGGCAGAGTTCTTGGCATCATCATTCAGGATGATTCCTGTGGAAAGTTGTTAAGTATTTTGTCCACAGGTGGATTCATCATGAGAAGGGGCAAACATTTCTATGAAACTTAACAAATAGAATTTATTTTCTTACTTTAAATAAATATTCATGTTCCTATCTAATTTTAGCACTTGTAATTTTGTGTTCCTATTCTTATTTTTTTTTTAATTTTTTTTTCAACGTTTACTTATTTTTGGGACAGAGAGAGACAGAGCATGAACGGGGGAGGGGCAGAGAGAGAGGGAGACACAGAATCGGAAACAGGCTCCAGGCTCTGAGCCATCAGCCCAGAGCCTGACGCGGGGCTCGAACTCCCGGACCGCGAGATCGTGACCTGGCTGAAGTCGGACGCTTAACCGACTGCGCCACCCAGGCGCCCCTGTGTTCCTATTCTTAATATCGATTGATTGATTCATGTAAGTAACCTCTACACCTAACATGGGGCCCAAACTCACAACCCCTACATCAAGAGTTCATGTTCCCCTGACTGAGCTAGCCAGGTGCCCCTTGTGTTCCTATTCTTAAGAGTCACCTTAAATTATATAATCTTCAGACTCCATCAAAACCTGAATTTGCCCTTGATTTTAGATCTAGTAGTTTGTGAACCTGGGATGAAGCATAGTAACCTAATTGTGTGACAGTCAGCCTCAGGGTAGAGCTGCTTGAACAAGCAGATGAAAAGACAAGATATGCAGTTAGATTTGAAGTTCAGATCAACTGTGAATAATATTTTGGTCTAAGTATATGCAAAATATTGCATAGGGCATACATATACTAAGAAAAGAGTCAGGTGATAGAAGACTTTGAGTTGCCTCCCCAACTGGCCGTGGCAGATGAATATTTATCACACGTATTGATAAACTGTAGGACTTTCTTCCTTATCTGCTATTTCTCTATAGTTTTGTTTTAAACTGAGTCTCGTATTTAGTTTCTCTGGCTGAATCTCACAGTCCAGAAAGGCAGAGAGAAGCTGGATGTAAGCACAGTAGAATCATTGGGCCTCAGAATGTAGCTCTGGAAGACCTCTGTGAAGACTAACTCCTTCCTTCTACAAGAGGGAAGACAAAGGCCCAGGGGCCAGAAAAGAGATCAGTATGAGGACAATAAATGTAAATATCTCGATGCGTAAAAGCAGTAAATGATAGGGGTGCCTGGGTGGCTCAGTCCGTTAAGTGTCCGACTCTTGATTTGGGGTTAGGTCACGATCTCATGGTTCATGAGTTCAAGCCCCTCATTGGGCTCTGTGCTGACAGTACGGAGCCTGCTTGGGATTCTCTCTCTCCCTCTCTCTCTCTGCCCTCCCTCACTTGTGCTTTCTCTCTCTCTCAAAAATAAATAAACTTAAAAAATAGTAAATGATAATACATAACAATTATAAAGTCTTTATTAGGCCTACATTGCCTTTGTTAACTCTCAAAACCCGCATGTGAGACAATGATTATTACTACAATTACAATCCTCATTGAACAGATGAGCAAACTGAGGCTCAGAGAGATTCAGTAAGCTGTCTAAGGCCACACAGCTAAGAGGTGGCAGAAACAAGATTTGAGCCTGACTTGAAATCCTGGCCCTTTCCTCTCCTACCAACATTTTCCAAACTTCAGGTGATTGTGCTCTATGTACAGCAATGCACCACCTTCTCAATTTTTCATCATCTGTGTTTCTTCTGTCCTACGCATGACTTAACTGTTTCCTTAAATTGACTCATTTAAAATTTATGTGTACTTTATAATAGAAAGTGTATATCCTGGGGTGTCTGGGTGGCTCAGTGGGTTAAGCATCCAACTTTGGCTTAGGTCATAATCTCATGGTTTGCAAGTTCGAGCCCCATGTCAGGCTCTGTGCTGACAGCTCAGAGCCTGGAGCCTGCTTTGGACTCTGTGTCTCTCTCTCTCTCTGCCCCTCCCCTACTAGTACTGTGTCTCTCTTTCTCAAAAATAAACAAAAACATTAAAAATTGTAAAAAAAGAAAGTGCATATCCTTATTGCTAATAGAATAAGCTATCTCCTATCTTAAAAAGAAGACGATTATACAAATATGTATGATTAGAACAATGTTACTCACTTCTGGGTAGCTTTTGTTACCTGCCTGCACGTGAAATTAAAACTAACTTCTCATGCTGTGACTTAATGTTACTTAATGCCATGGTCACAAACCTCCTAAACCATCTCATGTACAATCAGTGGTATGTGCTCCGTACTTAGGAAAGCACTGTCCTTTATCACTCTATTTCTCAGTCGTTGCCAAGGGTAAGTGGAACAGATGGTCCCGGATGCTTAGAACTGGAAGAGATATTTGGACCTTCCGTCCTCTTACTCAGGGCAAGAATTTGTTGTATGTCATCCTTGACCAGTGTTCGAGTGAACTGAGAACACGTACTCGTAATAAGTACTGGCTCATCGTAAGCTTTATATAAATGTTGGCTGTTCATTGAAACCAAATGTTCATGCGTGGAAATTGGCTCCAGAGGCAGCCTCATGTCGGCATTAAGGTCGTAGCCTCTGCCACCAGGCTGCCTGGGAGTAGCCCCCCATCCTCCTTAAGCTACGTCTCTGTACCCTTGAGCTGCAACAGCATCCCAGGTTAACCCTTTATTCCGCATGCCATCTGCTGAAAGAAAGGTCCCAGACCACCGCTGGGATGTTGGTTAGGGAAGGCATCTGCTCATATGACCATTCTAAACTTTCCCGCAATTTCAGCTTGAGAGGTTACACCTGAATGTGTTTCTGTTTTTATTTCAGTCAATCAGGTGTTGCTGTTCCTTCTGATTGTGACCCTCTGTGGAATTCTGTATAAGAAAGTTCATAAGGGGACTGTGCTCAGGAACGAAACAGGTATGCTGAGTGAAACAAGCTGGGCCCCAAAAGACAAGTACTGTGCGATTCCTCTTGTATGAGGGACTTTGATAGTCACAGTCACCCAGACAGAAAGTATGATGATGGTTGCCAGGGGCCGGGGGCGCGGGGATGCGGAGTTCTTGTTTAACGGGTAGAAGCTGCAGTTGTGTGAGTTTGTAAAAGTTTTGTAAGTTTGACAAGAATTATGGGGATGGGGCCGTGGTGACAGTAGTACGACAATGTGAATGTATTTAATACACCAACTGTGCGTTTAAAAAATGCTTAAGATGATAAATCTTAAGTGTTTTTTACTACAATAATTAAAAAAAAAATGGAGCAGGTAAATAAGCATATAACCCATCAAGATGGGATGCCTGGGAATGTGATTTAAATGCGTTCCTTTGGGGGCGCCTGGGTGGCGCAGTCGGTTAAGCGTCCGACTTCAGCCAGGTCACGATCTCGCGGTCCATGAGTTCGAGCCCCGCGTCAGGCTCTGGGCTGATGGCTCAGAGCCTGGAGCCTGTTTCCGATTCTGTGTCTCCCTCTCTCTCTGCCCCTCCCCCATTCATGCTGTGTCCCAAAAATAAATAAACGTTGAAAAAAAATTAAAAAAAAAAATGTGTTCCTTTGCTTCCTCTCAGTAGCTGGTTCAGAGACAGGCAACCATCTGGTTAGCTCCCAAGGACCTGCTGGTGAGAATATCCACCCAAGGCCAACTTTTCAATGATGTTCTACAGTGATCGGTGCTACTCAAACTTCACAACATATAAGAATCACAGTTAGGGTTTGTTAAAACACGATACTTGGACCCATCCCGAGAAATTTTGAGTCAGTAGATTTGGGGTGGGGCCTGAGGATTGCACGCGCTTGTGATACGCTCCCAGTTGATGATGACGCTTGGTTCTCAGACCACGCTTCGGGTGACTGGCTCTGTGTCTGTCCTTGGAGGCTCCCAATAATGCTGCTTATGCACATCACCTTCTGTCCCTTCTCCCCACTGGTTCATTCCCACTGCGGCACCAATAGCCTCAGAACCCGCAGCTGAGAAAAGATCCTGCATTGACCCTATGTCCTCTTCCAGCTGTGCTCAGGACCCCGATTCCCCTCCTGAGGGGTGGGTTGCTTGAGATGACACCTTCACAACCTCTAAACACACAGAGTCATCCTTCACAGAAATTAAGAAGTACTGTAGTCTGTGTATTATATTTTTAAATGGTTTCTTTATTTATAAAGATTTCATTTTTAAGTAAACTCTACCCCCAATGTGTGGCTCCAACTTGCAACCCTGAGATCAAGAGTTGCACAAACCTTTGACTGAAACATCCAGGCACCCCTATTTTTAAATAATTTTAAATAACTGTAGTTTTATATAGTCTCGCAAATACATTTATGGAAAATACAGAAGAGAAAGATATTACCTGTAGCTATATCAGCCAAAGACAAATATAGTTAATATTTTGGTGCATTATATACATTCATTTCATACTTTTTTTTTTTTTTTTTAAAAAGGAGGCTTTAGGCACTGGACCCACAACAGTGAGAAAAACAATGTCCTACTCTCACAAAGCTGACTTATTTTAATTTAAAAATTCATTTAAGAAGAACAGTTAAGGGGAGCCTGGGTGGCTCAGTCCGTTAAGCATTTGATTCTTGATTTCTGCTTGGGTCGTGATCTCACAGTTCACAGGATAGAGCCCTGGTCAAGCTCTGTGCTGATAGTGTGGAGCCTGCTTGGGATTCTCTCTCTCTCTCTCTCTCTCTCTCTCTCTCTCTCTCTCTGCCCTTCTTCCCCTCTCAAAAACAAATAAATATGCTAAAAAGAAAAACAGTTAAAAACACATAAAATCTGGTTTAAATAAACATAAGGAGCATCCGGAAAGAGAATGATTTCCACATAAAGATGTGCATACAGATTTGCCCAGGGCATCATTCTTTGTAGCCCCATTGGAAACAATCCACATGTAAATCAATCAGAGATTAGATAAAATGTAGTATATCCACACAATGGAGTGCTTTTCAACAATAAGAAGCAACAAACTACTAATGCCTGCTCCAGAAGTTGGATGTGGATAAAACTCTCAAAGATTATGCTAAATTAAAGAAGTCAGACCTGAAAGCCCACATATTATATGACTCCATTTAGAGAAGTTTCTAGAAAAGGTAAATCTATAGAAACAGAAAAGAGATCAGTGGTTGCCAGGGGCTAAGAGCCGGAGTGGATTGACTATAACCCAGCTTAAGGAAACTTTTCAGGGAAATGAACATTTTTTTTTTTATTTGAGAGAGAGAGAGAGAGAGAGAGAGAGAGAGAGAGTGCAAGCAGGGGAGAGAGAGAGAGAGAGAGAGAGGGAGAGAGAAAGAGAGAGAGAGAGAGAGAGAGAGAGAGAGAGAGAGAGAGAGAGAATCCCAAGCAGCCTCCACATCCAGCACGGAGCCCGACTCTGGGCTCAGTCCCACAATCCTGGGATCATGACCTGAGCCAAAATCAACAGTTGGACACCCCACCAACTGAGCCAGCCAGGCACCCCTGGAAATGGTCCAAAGTGACATTGTGGTAATGGTTGTGCAACTCTATCAATTTACTAAAAATCATGGAACTGTATACCTAAAACAGGAAATTTTAAGAACTTCCCAATATTTGCAAATTTTAAGAAATCTGTATTAGTCAGCCTGGGCTGCCTTAAGAAAATACCACAGACTATGGGGTGCCTGGGTGGCTCAGTTGGTTAAGCTTCCGACTTCTGCTCAGGTCATCATCTCACGGTTCATGGGTTCAAGCCCTGAATCAGGCTCTGTGCTGACAGCTCAGAGCCTGGAGCCTGCTTTGGATTCTGTGTCTCCCTTTCTTTCTGCCCCTCCCCTGCTCACACTGTCTCTCTCTGTCTCTCAAAAATGAATAAACGTTGGAAAAAACTTTTTTAAAATATAAAAAAAGAAAATACCCCAGACCAGATGGCTTACAGAAAAGAAGTTTGAGGGGCGCCTGCGTGGCTCAGTCGGTGAAGCGGCCGACTTCGGCTCAGGTCACGATCTCGCCGTCCGTGGGTTCGAGCCCCGCGTCGGGCTCTGTGCTGACAGCTCAGAGCCTGGAGCCTGTTTCCGATTCTGTGTCTCCCTCTCTCTCTGACCCTCCCCCGTTCATGCTCTGTCTCTCTCTGTCTCAAAAATAAATAAACGTTAAAAAAAAATTAAAAAAAAAAAAGAAAGAAAAGAAGTTTGATTTCTCACAGATCTGGAGGCTGGAGGTCCAGGATCCAGGCTCTGGCAGTGTTGGTTTCTTCCAAGGCTTCTCTTCAAGGCTCACAGTCAGCTGCCTTCTCCTCCCGTCCTCAGATGACTTTTTCTGTGTGTTCCCATCTCTGGCGTCTCTGCCTCTTCTTATAAGGACACCAGTCATAGTGTATTAAGGCCCCACCCTAATGGCCTCAGTTTCACTTAATTGCTCCTTATAGGCTCTGTCCTCAAATGCAGTCACATCCCAAGGTACTGGAGTTTAGTGCTTCCACATACAGATTTACACAATTCAGTCCTAACGATAGCTAAATTATGCCTCAATAGAGAAAGGAAGCCCTACGAAGTCAAAAGTTGCCTGAACTTCAAGTTCTTGAGTCCTCACGCTTCGCTCCCTGCCCATAAACCAACACATTTCTTCTCTCCACAGAGAGAAACAAGTAGCTTTCATAGCAGCTGTTAAAACAAGTGTAAGGAAATGCACATCCTGGCCTATTAATCAACCATATACTGATAAACAAAGCATTTGGAACACATCAATGGGTTCACTATCACATCTTTAACCCATTCAATGTTGAAAAGAATCAGTGTTATGAAATAACATTCAAAAGAGTATAATGTTGAGATGGAAAGACGTCCGTGATATGTTAAGTGGAAAAAGCAAGTTGTAGAAAACCAGGAAAAGTATGATTTCATTTTGATTTTAAAATAACACGTGTAGGTGATATATTTCCTTTTGGGACAACACAAAGAAGGATTTGAGAGGCGCACACCGCATGGGTGACAGAGATCTACCTTTGGAATGGGGGTAGAGAGGTCTGCAGAAAATCACCATGACTTACTGGAATTTGGGGCTGGAATTTTTTCAAGAAATGCATATCAATTTTTTTTTTTAATTTTTTTAATGTTTATTTATTTTTGAGACAGAGAGAGACAGAGCATGAACGGGGGAGGGTCAGAGAGAAGGAGACACAGAATCTGAAACAGGCTCCAGGCTCTGAGCTCTCAGCACAGAGCCCGACGTGGGGCTCGAACTCACGGACCGCAAGATCATGACCTGAGCCGAAGTCGGCTGCTTAACTGACTGAGCCACCCAGGCGCCCCCGCATATCAATATTTTTAATAGACTGTTTTTTTAGAGCAGTTTTAGGTTCATAGCAAAATTGAGTGGAAGGTACACAGCTTCCCCCCCCCTGTTAACATCCCCCACCAGATGGTACATTAGTTACAACTGTTGAACCTACATGGACACATTATCACCCAATGTCGACAGTTTACATTAGGGTTCACTCTTGATGTTGTCCTTGGGTTGTGAGAAATGTATAAGGACATTAACCTACCATTATGGAATACAGAGCAGTTTCACTGCCCCGAAAAATCCTTGGTGCTTTGCCTATTCCATATTAATTTTTATATTTTCAAAAATAGTAATTCAAAGAATTGGTGTTATAAGGTAATGTCCAGAAACCCTGTGAAATCATTTGCTGAAGAAAGGCATGGTGCCATTTTGTGTATTTTTTTTTTCCTTACATTTATTTATTTTTGCGAGACAGAGCACAAGTGGGGGAGGGGCAGAGAGAGAGGGAGACACAGAATCCAAAGCAGGCTCCAGGCTCTGAGCTGTCAGCACAGAGCCCGACGCGGGGCCCAAACTCACAAACCCTGGGATCGTGACCTGAGCTGAAGTTGGAGGCTTAACCAACTGACTTTGCACCCCCCCCCCCATTTTTCTTTTACATTTATTTTTTAAATTATAATTTTTTTAGTTAATTTTTTTAGTTTATTCATTTTTGAAAGACAGAACATGAATTTGGGAGGGGCAGAGAGAGAGGGAGACACCAAATCTGAAGCAGGCTCCAGGCTCTGAGCCATCAGCACAGAGCCGGATGCGGGCCCGAATTCACGAGATGTGAGATCATGACCTGTGCCGAAGTCAGACGCTTAATGGACTGAGCCACCCAGGAGCCCCTTGTGTATTCTGATAATGACATTCAATCTAATCTCCTGATAATTTTTGTGTGATTAGCTGGTGATTCACTCCTGGCCCATTTGAGGTGAGGCAAGTTTATATGCTTGGCTAAAACCAATCCTAATTTGAAATGGGATTCAGAGATTTGGCACGGGGAGAGCAGACATTTCACTTTTTCTAGAAATGGGCATGGTCTGGTAAGAGCTGCTTGTGGGAATGGACTAATGCAACATAATACATTTTCACTCCATACCACCATCAACATGATGTTTTCTAGAGATCGTATGGGCACCAAGCAATTTCACATAGCCAGACCTTTGGGTGAGTTGGCATAGGTACCAATTGGCACAGTGGGTGATTCCCAGAGAAGCTGCAAGGGTGCCACATTGGTGTAGACTTCACAGTGGATAAATCTTTCCCAGTCTTTCTCCAGTGTGTTTTCATCCATACTCTGTCCAGGGAAGACTTCTTGGCAAAGAGCGGTGTTTCTGGCTCTGGTTCGCTTCCCAGCTCCTCTGACCGGCAGAGTCTCCTAAGAAGCGTGGCAGTGTGACGTGTCTGCAGACTTGCTGTTTGATCTCTTGGGTGGCCCTCTTTCATGGGGACACCTTCCTCCTCCCTCATTCTGCCTATTTCCTGAGAGCCTGGTTCTGCCCCCAGCTTTTCAGCCCTTCTCTCTCTCTTTGCCCCTAGGAGTAGTCGGGGAATCATTCCTCCAGGGCCCTGTTCTGTACGATCGACACATCAGTTCAGTTCAGTCCAGCAAACTTTTATTAAGTGCCTCCAGGTGCCAGACTAGGGAAATATAATGAGTTCACAGTCTAGTGAAGGAGACAGACACATGAATAGATTCTTTCTGTGCAGTGTGGCAAATGTTCAAATAGAGGTATTTAAAAAATTCACCCATCCATTCATCCCTCCCTCCAAAATGTATTGAGAATCTACTATGTTGCAGGCACTGTGCTAGCCGCAAATGAATAGACAGAGATGAACGAGATACTGTCTCGGCCCTCATAGGAGAGAAAGATAAAGCATGCAACCACATAAATTGCAATGCAGCTGGTCAGTCCACCCACAAACACGGACAAAGTGAGCGCCGTGTAAGGAGCTGTTAAAGTCTTCCCAGAGGTTCTGATGTCTACACTGCATTTGGAATGAATGGGTAAAAGTTAGCCATGCAGGAAAGGACGGAAAGAGCATTCTGGGCATCTGGAACACTATGTGCAAAGGCACTGAGCAAAGGGACCACCCGGTGCAGTGTTCAGTATTTTGGTATCGCTGGAGTAGAAGGAGTCGGGGCTAAGGAAGTGAGTAGGGGCTGGATCATGAGGCACCTGTGTGCCAGGCAAGGGAAGGTGGCTCTACCTTACAGGAGCCACTGGAGAATGGTGAGCAGTGAAGAAATAGAGTCAAATTTGCATTTGGGGCAGTTCACTTCACTGCCTGCAGGCAACATACCGCATGATTAGGGAACCTCCCCAAAATGACAGTTGAGTCCAAAAGGAATAATCCCTTAAGAAATATTTTCCTTTTTGTTTATAAAAGTAGCCATGGTTGGGGCACCTGGGTGGCTCAGTCGGTTAAGGGTCCGACTTCAGCTCAGGTCATGATCTCATAGTTTGTGGGTTCGAACCCTGCAGCTGGCTCTGTGCTGACAGCTCAGAGCCTGGAGCCTGCTTCAGATCTGTGTCTCCCTGTCTCTCTCTGCCCCTCCCCTGCTTGTGCTCTCTCTCTCTCTCAAAAATAAACAAACATTAAAAAAAAAAAAAAGTATCCATGGTTGCTTTAGAGAATTTGGAAAATATAAGAAATGCAAATAAGGAAATTGAAATCACTCATAATTCCATAAACAGATGTAGATCCATTTGAAAATATGTATGTATGTGTATATCCCATTGGGATCCAGTGGTGATTTTGTGTATCAAATACTAGAGAGAAATTTTGTATTCTTTTCCCCCTTAATGTTGTATTATGAGCATTCTCTTGTGCCAGTAAGTATACTGTGAAAACAGAATTATTCTCGTGGTGGACATTTCAGACGTGGTGGCCAGCCTGGGGAAGAGAGGTAGGAGAAGGGAGAGGCCCTTCAATGTTTCTTAAGCTACATAAAGCACAGTACCTGGTGGTTAGTTCATATATGTGTTGCATTAAATATCAGCTAGAACTGCCCCGCGTCTGAGTGGTACTTATCTGTCAAGAGAGCTTTAAGTAAAAACCAGAAGGGCATCTGAGAGTGGCCACTCTTCATACTGATTATTATTATCTTTCATACCGGAAAATTGTATTGCAATACCAAAATAAGATGTTACGACACTGGTATTTTACATCACAGCCACAGCTCAAAAGAACAATCAATTATTCATCTTGTGCATTAGTCATGCTCTTTCATTTACCACCTTTCTCTTGCTGTCGACTTTTGAGAGACTTGACTAGAGGGCAGAGAGGAGAAGGAAGATCACAAGCAGTAGCTTTTACAGCAGCATTGCAGGAAAACATCCCAATTTAGGAAGGAGTTGAGAACTGTCGGATCAAATGAGACTTTCCAGTTCTTCACATATTTTTCAACTGTGTGTATGTGTGTCCGATTGGCTTCTGTAAAAGAGCCCCAAAATCATAGTGACTGAAGCAAAATAGAAGTTCATTTTCTCTCTCAAGTGAATGAATGTGTGCCATTCCACACAATGATGTGCCATTTCCACGGTCATCCAGATCAAGGTTCCTTCTGTGTTAGGGTTTTGGTGTCCTCCACAGGTAGCTTCCAAGTAGTGGTCCAAGATGGCTGCCCTAACTTCTGTCATCATATCTACATTCCAGCCAATGGGAATGGGGCCAGGGGAAGGGGAGGGTAGCACGTTGCTTTCAAAGGCAAATCCAGTAATCACACACATACTTGTGCTAACCTTCCGTTGGTCATAACTTGATCATGCACACTTGCTAGGGAGTCTCCGAAATCTGTTCTTAGTGGTTGGCTAGATGCCAGCTAAAATTAAAACTCCAATGTTGTATTTCTTCCCCCCGCCCCACCCCATGTTCTATTTCTGAAAGAAGAAGAGACTGGATGTTGGAGAATGGTTGGCAGTCTCTTCCACACTATGCCGTCTTCTCCCAGGAGTGTGGGAGACAATTTGAACTGGTTCTACTATGAATTTCCTTCATGTTCTAAGACAGTGATTGTGATGTTTCCAGACGATGACTCTGAGGCTCCTGAGGAAATGGAGGATGAGATTCCTGTGGTGATTTGTGCTGCTGCAGGGAGAATGGGTGCCGCCATGGCTGCCATCAATAGCATCTACAGCAACACCGACGCCAACATTCTGTTCTATGTCGTTGGACTCCGGAACACTCTGTCTCGAATCCGGTAATTTGTGTACTATAGACTTGGGAGTTTTCAACTTTCTCTTCATCTTCCTTATCTTTCCTTAAATGCATTTCCTTCTGTTTTGGGCTTGATGAATGTCATTTGAATTAATGAGGGGATGACCTGAGGTTTACTGGGTGACCTGATGAATGTGTGGTATAGCTAAGGAAGTTTCCAGCAAAGTCTCATTAATCTGGTTGGGCATTGCATCATTCTGCTGAAGTGAATTGGCTAATGACCTAAAGAACTACAAGCCTTAGGCAGGTTGTGTGTAAATCTCTCTCTATTTTTTAAATATTTATTTGTTTCCAGAGAGAGCACGTGCATGAGAGCAGGAGCAGAGAGGCAGAGAGAGAGGAGAAGAGAAAATCCCAAGCAGGCTCCACATTGTCAGCACAGAGCCCAACATGGGACTTGATCTCATAAACCGTGAGATCATGATCTGAGCTGAAGTCAAGAGTCCAATGCTTAACCAACTGAGCCACCCAGGCGCCCCAGAAGTCTTTCTAAAACAGTTTATCTTGGGGTGCCTGGGTGGCTCAGTCAGTTGAGTGTCCAACTCTTGATTTGGGCTCAGGTCGTGATCCCAAGGTTGTGTTGGGCTCTGCATTGAGTGTGGAGCCTGCTTTGATTCTCTCTCTCTCCTTCTGCCCTTCTCCTCTGCCTCGCTCTCTCTCTAAAATTAAAACAAAAACAAAAAAAAGATGGGGGGCACCTGGGTGTCTCAGTCGGTTAAGTGTCCAACTCCTGATTTTGGTTCAGGTCATGATCTCATGGTTGTGAGATGGAGCCCTCTGTTGGGCTCAGAGGGCATGGAGCCTGCTTGAGATTCTCTCTCTCCCTCTCCCTCTGCCCCTCCCCCACACGCATGCGTGTGCACGCCCTCTCTCTCTGAAAACAGAACAAAACAAAACAAAACAAAAAATTAACAGTTTCTGCTTTCTTAACCTGGGAGGATATTAATATAGTATTTTAATATGACCCAGAATGATCACTAATTCTAACTTTTGAACTGCATAGTGATCTCTTTCCTATCACACAACACACTACAAAGTAAGTTGGAAACGGAGTTAGAAGAAATAAACAGAAAATCAAATTTTAAATTACTATAAAAAAGCAGGATAATTATATAATTTTGCTATGGAAAGTGATTCTGTGAGCCCACAAATCACAAGGAAAAAAATGGACAGATTTGGCTGCATAACATTTAAAAATTTTTAAATGATGAAAAACACTGTAAGTGAAATTAATCACACAATAAATTACACAAAACATTTTCAACATGTATTACAGACAAAGGATTACTATCCAAAGAATATAAAGAATTCTTACAAAAAACTTTTAAACATATAAGCATCGGGTAGTAAAATGCGCATACAATACAGACAAGTCACGGAAGAAAAAATACAAATGGTCAACAAACGTGAAAACGTATTCCGTGTTACTAATAGGGAAATGCAAATTAAAACAACAGTGACATAATTTTTCACTCATCGAGTTGGTAAAAATTAATAGGACAACAATATCCAGTGCAGGAAAATAGACACACTTATTCCTTGTTTAAATAATGTATACTTCGGGGCGCCTGGGTGGCTCAGTCGGTTGAGCTTCCGACTTCGGCTCAGGTCATGATCTCGCAGTCTGTGAGTTCCAGCCCCGAGTCGGGCTCTGTGCTGACAGCTCAGAGCCCGGAGCCTGCTTCGGATTCTGTGTCTCCCTCTCTCTCTGCCCCTCCCCCACTCATGCTCTCTCTCTGCCAAAAATAAATAAACATTAAGAAAATTTTTAAAATAATGTACGCTTCGTAAATTGGCAAAAAGAAGGCAATGTGTGTATACTGACAAAGAAGATCCTCGGGACATGCTGTTATGTGAAGATGAAAGTTTCACTACGTCTCATATAGTGTGAACCATTTTATGAGTGTCTTAAGCCATCCGGGCTGCTGTAATAGAATGCCACAGACCCGGTGGCTTGTGAAAACAGAAAAGTATTTCTCACGGTTCTGGTGGCTGTGAAGCCCAAGCTCTAGGCATCGGCTGATTCCATACCTGGGAAGGGCCTGCTTCCTGGTTCATGAAGGGCTGTGTCTTTGCTGCGTCCTCCCGTGGTGGGAGGGGTAGAGGCGTTCACTGGGGTCTCTTTTATGAGGGCACTCATCCCATTCCTGAAGGCTCCACGCTCATGACCTAATCACCTTCTGAAGGCCACACCTCCAAATGCCATCACACTGGGGATTAGGTTTCAACACATGAATTTGGGGGCAGGGGGCCATAAACATTCACCTTGTAGCTTTAAACAATAAAAAAACTGGGGGTGCCTGGGTGCCTCAGTCGATTGAGCACCCGACTTCGGCTCAGGTCATGATCTCACAGTTTGTGGGTTCAAGCCCTGCATCAGGCTGGCTGCTGTCAGCACAGAGCCCACTTCAGGTCTTCTGTTCCCCTCTATCTGTCCCTTTCCTGCTCATGCTCTCTCTCTGTCTCAAAAATAAATAAATAAATAGATAAATAAATAAAATATTTTTAAAGAATCAAAAAACCAAGGGCACCAGGCTAGCTCAGTCAGTAGAGCACGTGACTCTTGATCTCGGGGTTGTGATTTTGAGCCCCATGTTGGGTGTAGAGATTACTTAAAAACAAAATCTTAAAAAAAAAAAAAAAACCAAACCATAAATGTGTACATGTACATATATGTGTTTCTGCAAAGAAAAAGACCCGAAAGATCTCCATCTGCCAGCAGTGACTGTCTCTGGGGAGGATGGATGGATTGGGGAGAGCAGTGATGATGGGAAGTTCAAGGTATTTCTAGTGTTATTTCCATTATTCAGAAGGAGAATGTATTTATTTTTTAAGTTTACTTATTTTTAGTAACCTCTACACCCAACATGGGGCTTGAACTCATGACCCCAAGATCAAGAGTCACATGCTCTTCCGACCGTGCCAGGCAGGCCCCTGAAGATGTTATTTATGCATGACTTTTACAATTCGATTTTTAGGTCTTGGCACCTTGGTTTAGGAGAAACTGAGATGTGGCTGACACTCACTCCTAATCTAAATGGTCTTTGGCTCCTGTGGGTTTTGAGGGCTTATGTACACGTTCTAGATTTTCTGTCTCATTTCTCACTCTTCTTCTCATTTATTTTGCAGATTTTTCACTTAGCCTGCTGTTAACAGGCTATGGGTAATTATCTATGGGTATGAAAAGCAGATAACCAAGCCCCAAAGGGTGGCTTGTGTCATATGGTCTGAGCAAGGGTTTGTACTCGAACAGAAGGGCATTGGTTCCAGGGCTTGATGACATCTGAGCAGGGACTGTTTCCCAGCTCTTGGTTGTCTAGTCCACTAGACCGTTTTACATTATTCAAAACAAAATAAAACAAAACTTTCTTTTCAGTGAAGTATAATACAAAAACAGAAAATTGCGTAAATTCTGCGCGCAGTTTAGTGAGTCATCACAAAGTAAACATACCCATGTAACAACCACCACCCAATGTGGTATGGTCAGGTTTTTTTTTTTTTTTTAATGTTTATTTCTTTTCTTTGAGAGAAAGAGAGAGATTTTGAGCAGGGGAGGGGCAGAGAGAGAGGGAGACACAGATTCCCAAGCAGGCTCCCTACTGTCAGCCCACATCATGACCTGAGCCGAAATCAAGAATCAGACACTTGAGGTGCCTGGGTGGCTCAGTCAGTTAAGCGTCTGACCTCACCTGAGTTTACGATCTCACGGCTTGTGAGTTCGAGCCCTGCGTTGGACTCTGTGCGGACAGCTCAGAGCCCGGAGCCTGCTTTGGGTTCTGTGTCTCCCTCTCTTTCTGCACCCCGCCCCCGCCCCATGTCTCGTGCTCTCTCAAAAATAAATAAGCATTAAAAAAAAAAGAGTTGGGGCACCTGGGTGGTTCAGTCAGTTGAGTGTCCGACTTCAGCTCAGGTTACGATCTCATGGTCTGTGAGGTCGGGCTCTGTGCTGACAGCTCAGAGGCCGGAGCCTGCTTCAGATTCTGTGTCTCCCTCTGTCTCTGCCCCTCCCCCGCTCACATTCTATCTCTCTTTCTCTCAAAAATAAATAAATATTAAAAAAAAAAGAGTTGGACAGTTAACCAACCAAGCCACACAGCCGCCCCAGTATGGTCAGTCTTTTTAACTTTGCCATCCTGATAGGTGTCCAGGGCTATCTCATCATGGTTTAACTTGAGATTCCTTCATTTTAAATGAGATTGAGCACTTTTTAAAAAAAATTCTAAATGTTCTTTTTTAAATGTTTATTTTTGACAGAGAGAGAGAGAGAGAGAGAGAGAGCACAAGCAGGGGAGGGGCAGAGAGAGAGAGACACAGAATCTGAAGCAGATTCCAGGCTCTCAGCTGTCAGCACAGAGCCTGACAGGAGGCTTGAACCCACAAACTGCGTGATCATTACCTGAGCCTAGTCAGATGCTTCACTGACTTAGCCACCCAGGGTCCCCCCACCGCCCAGCACTTTTTTTCACACGTTTCTTGGCTACTTAGATTTGCGCGTTCAAGTCTCTTGCCAGTTTTTCAGTAGGGTTGTCTATCTTTTTCTCATTGACGTGACTTCTCCCCACCTCCGGATTTGAAATATAATTGACATTTAACATTGTGTAAATGGCTGCTTTTTATGGTTCAAATTTTGCAGATCTAAATTTTGTTCCAAGGATTGATTTGTCAACTTTTGAGCAACAACAGATGCTACCATGTGTGGCTTTGGTCATTAACAATTGTTTTGAGATAATTTCTGCCAAGAATTGTATCATGAATTGGATAAAAGATAGTCGCAGACTGTGTGCGACTGAGCAGACATGGGGGGAGAGGGTCGGGGGGAGGGAGGAGGGGAAGGCGGGAAGCGAGGAAAGGTCGGGAACATGGAGAGACAGAGACAAAGAGGCCAGGATCACTTCAAATCGTCCTTGGAGTGGAAATAGCAGAGGAAGAAGGCAGGTAGGAGATCCAGGATGTCCTGCTTCATCCGTTGACAAAATCTGGTAACCCCGTGGCAAACAGGGACCAGGACCCGCAGATGCTTTGTGAGGAAGAAGGAACACATTTTGTTCTCCCGGTTTCCTGTGGAGATTATGTGGATCTGGGGAGCTATTTGGTTATTACTGTTTTGCTTCATTTCCTTTGCAGAGTTACGTGAATTAAAGAAAAAAAAGAGGAAAGATCGGAAGCCAGACCAGATGGGGGGAAAAAAATCAGAAGGTTTTATAGACTAAACTCTACTAAGGTTATACACATTTTATTTGTAACTTTCGAAAGAGGCCACAGATCAACTCTGAGGCAATAGGGAAATTGAGGCAAAAGGTTGGAGGTGTATATGCTAGAGGTGTTTTTTGTTTGTTTGTTGTCATCTCTTTAGAAAATGGATTGAACATTCTAAACTAAGAGAAATAAACTTTAAAATCGTGGAATTCAACCCGATAGTCCTCAAGGGGAAGGTCAGACCGGACTCATCAAGGCCAGAATTGCTCCAGCCTGTGAGTAGGAATCGCGCACGTGCTGGGGACAGTCTCCGGTGAGACCCTTGCTCAGTGGGGAGCACTGGCCACTGGGATGCAGACAGAATATTTTGGAAGCAGTGTCAGATCTCCACCAAGGTCTGCTTGCTTATAATTTATAAGTCACCTGCTCCGGAAGGATTTAAGATGGTTCTCATAAATAAAATGAAGCTATTCAAGCAGAAATGAAGCATGAGAAAACGTAGGATGCATTTCTGTGTGTGAATATGCCTGTAGAGGTTGGGGGTAGGGGCCAAATAGTGAGGCCAGGAAAAGTATTCCCAACCGACAACGTGTTATGTGTGCTGTAATTGGACGTTGAATTTAACCCAAGTATCCCGGCAGCTAAGGAAAACCAGTAGCGTGATAGATGATATACCTCATAGTGTCAACTAAGGTAATATTTTCAGGAGACACCGCTTTTTTTCCCTAGAATTGGGAATCTTAAGGTATTTTACTGCAAGAGTTCTTACTAAAGGGACTCTCTTGCATGAAGAGTAGTATTGATGGCAGGTTCACAGAAAATGCAGCTGCTTTCTGCATATGCTTGTTACATCCGTCCTTGAAAATGTACTGAATTCTATGCCCTCTAATGACGTTATCTTTCCCCAGTTCCTTATATTTATTATCAGAGTGTGAGCTGAGCTAGAACTTTGGGTTCGATAGTGTTATGGCTAATGAAACCATATGACTCTCACCCTCAGCTCATGCTTGTCTGACTTTTTTCTGGTCCAGGGAGCTAAGAGGTTGAGCTCGTGGTTGGGATGATGCCCCTGTGCCCCTGTGCCCTTGTGTCCTGTGTGTGTGTGTGTGTGTGTGTGTGTGTGTGTGTAAGGCTGATTTAGTTGACGGTAATCAAATTACTAGTATAGAGGAGGGCAGGCACTTCGTGTCCTAAAAGATTGACCAGGAAACCTCCGTGACTCCCAGTACAGTGGCTCACGGAGACCCAAGTCATGTCACAGTCTCGGCAGATGAGGGTTTGGGTCTAGAAGGGCACTGATGGGCCAGCATCAGCTGCAGCCCGGGGCCCGGATAACTTGGAATCAGGAAGCTGCAGCGAGGCATCTTTATGGACTGTTTTATTTTGCTCCACACCTGGAGCGGAACTGAGGCCATGGTCAAAGCCACCCCCATAAGAGCACTAGAAGACACTGAGCCATATGCCTCTTCCCCACCATCACTTTTTTTTCTGTTGTTTTAACAGCTGAACTTTGTCCGCTTTTATCTCCCTCTGCTTATCCATCAACATGAGAAAGTCATCTATTTGGACGATGACGTAATCGTACAAGGTATACACGCCGACTGCCAAGAACACTCGGAAAAGGAGCAGCCGATAAGTAGAATAACTGTCTATCTCCTTCAGTTTCCAAGTAGCTAGATGCCCAGCGACTGTGGCTGCGTATTCAAGATGGGAGAACAGTATTGTTATAAATTTGGGGATGTTTTGAAAACGGGGGTTGATAACTCACTTCCCTGGACAGTCCAGTTGACTGAGAGCCACTCTCTCACTGTTGAAGTCGGTAATAAATAGCTCAGTAGCCTCTCCTTTCTCTGCATCCCTAAAATGTAGAGGAATAAAGTCTCCCTCACGACATTCTTAAAAGTGAGCTACGTTTTGGTGTCTAAGTGTTGCTCTCTCTTTCTCTCTCTCATATGCAAATAAGCTAAGCACTGGTGTGGTCTCTACATGGCAACGGAAGTAAAGACATTTAGCCAGTGCCGATCTGAGCTTATCATCAAGTGGCCTTCTGAATTGAGACAAACTATGTTATTAAGTAAATCGCCAGGCCACTCGAAATTGAGATCACATACTTTTCCTCCATAGCAAAATCAGGGACTGTTGGACAATCTAAGGCTCTATCTAGCTCAAAACCAAATGCTATAATATTTAAGCCACTGGTGTTTTCTGAATTCAGGTGACATCCAGGAACTCTATGACACCACTTTGGCCCTGGGCCACGCGGCAGCTTTTTCGGATGACTGCGATTTGCCCTCCGCTCAGGACATGAACAGATTTGTGGGGCTGCAGGTGGGCTCGCTGGCCTGGAGGTCCTGGCTTCGCTCTGCTGTTCCCTTCCCTTCCCTTCCCTTCCCTTCCCTTCCCTTCCCTTCCCTTCCCCGCAGCGCACAATCATCTAACCTTGGAGCGCAGCACAGGGCCCAGGCTGTCCATTCGGCCCCAGCTCCGTGTGTACCGACTCTGGGGCAAGTTAGCCCTGCAAGTCCTTCTCTGCTTGTCTGACACATGGCGACAACGGTACCTGTTTCATTTGGTTTTTGTGAGCTGTGATGAAATCACACGAAGCCAGAGCTCCAGCCTGCAGTAATGCTCCAGAAGTGACAGGTGTTACCTAAGTGGCTGCAACCACCCCTGTCCGAGATGGGGTTTCCCGTAAGACAGTCCCTGGACTTTTGGCTCTGTTGTCAGAGTTTTGATCGTTGCTTTTTTTGTGTTTTCCTTTCAACAGAGGAAAATACTGATTTTGCTCAAGGGTAGAGAGCAACTTACCCTGGTGGAAATGAGGGAAGTCGAACCTGTCTGTAATACTGAAACTAAAAGGATGGCTTTAAAATACAAGGTGTTATTAGGAATCAAATGCTGTTCTTTAAACAAAATTCCAGGACATCATTTTAGACGTGTTGACAGTAGAGGTGTGACATACTTTGAGGCCTGGGACCTTAGTCAACAGGTTGGCTCCACCCCTTAGTAGGTTTGCAGCCCTGGGCAAGTGCGTGGCCGTGCGGGTCTCCCTCGGTTGTCAGAGGTAATAACAGTACTTCCCTCGTAGAGTGATGGTGAGAATTAAATTAGTCAACGCGTGTAAAGTGACTGTGCGATTAACGAGGTAATGTGTGCAAAGTTCCTAGAACAGAGGCTGGCACATGGAAACTGCTCGAGCGTGTCCATGATTTCCATGTGGTGCGTGGGCATCGCACTGAGCTTGAGGTGGATTGTGACAGCCTGTGTGGGTGGAACAGTAATGTCCCGCCTCATATCACAGCCACTCCACAACCACCCATGTGCTTACCATGGTGCTGGCACTGTTTTAGGTACCAGCAGTACAGTAAACAAAACTGAAATGCCTGCCTTTGTGAAGTTTACATGTTAGTGGGAAAAGACCGTATAAAAAATATTTAACAGAGGATCAGGATGCAGATTGGGTTGTATTTTAAATTGGGTGATCAGGGAAGGCTCCCCTGACATGGTGTCGCTGAGCCTGCACGTAAAAGAAGTCAGGGGATTAGCTCAGCAGATATTTAGGGGGAAAGCATTCCAAGAAGAGGTAACAGCAAGTGCAAAGGTCCTGAAGCAGGAGTGTGTCTTTCTTTTATTGCAGGAGCAAGGAGGTCAGGGTGGCGGAGGGAACCGGTGTGAGAATAGGCTAGAAAGGTCATGGCGCTGGGGGCAGATGGCCTAGGGCACGGCAACACATCTTAGGAACTCTGCCTTTTACTGAGACGGAAAGCCACTGGAGAGGCTTCGAGCAGATGAATAACATAGAGACAGAGTGAAGTTGACAAGGGTGGAAGCAGGAACAGTTTAGGAGGGGCTCGCGGACGTCCTGTGAGTGGGGATTACAGCCCAGACCGGGAAGGCTGCAGCACAGGCAGTGGTTGGCTTATGGATATATTTTGGGAGATGAGACAAACAGGACTTGCTGACAGATTTGGATGCAAAGTGAGTGTGAAGGAGCCACGGAGGACGTAATGGCCCTGGGTTTTTTGCCCAAGTAACTGGAAGAATAGTGTTGCCGGTAACTGAGGTAGGCGGGTTGTGGGGAAGCGAGTTCCGGCCAGGATCAGGATCAGGATCAGTTTTTGGATGTAAGTAGAGCTGCCTTGTTAAGCATCCAGAAGGAGACGCAGTATCTGCCAACAGATGTAGCAGGCTTTGGGAATCCAGAGGAGAGGTCAAGGCTGGCTGCACAGATAGTATTTTGGGCCACGAGACCGGATGAGGCTGTCTGGGGAGCTCGTACTAGAGACAGGAACAGGTGCAGGCAAGGAGACTAGGGGGCACTCGGCCTTTCGAGGTTGGGGAAACACGACAAACAGCAAAGGATACTAGGAAATGGCTTGTGACACAGGAGGAAACCCAGAAACGCTGCCCAATGGTTTCAAGAAAAGGATCGTTTTCCAGAAACAAAAGATGTGTTGGTCAAAGGCATATCCTGTTCCTTTACAGAATACATACATGGGCTATCTGGACTATAGGAAGAAGACCATAAAAGACCTTGGCATAAGCCCCAGCACGTGCTCTTTCAATCCCGGCGTGATTGTCGCCAACATGACGGAATGGAAGCATCAACGTATCACCAAACAACTGGAGAAATGGATGCAAAAAAATGTGGAGTAGGTGTAAACCCTTCTACCATTTTCCTGGCTTGGGGACAAAACTGCATAATTAATTTTCTATGCAGATCTCAGGGGTTAGAAATATTTCATAGACCTCTTAGGTCAGATTTGCTGACAGAGGCATGGGTGAGAAAGATTGGGGACAGCAGATGGGAATCTGTCCCCAAACGGTATGTCAGCGGAACCGAGATCCTGCACAATCTCATTATACAAACATTTTTTCTAATGAATTAGTAATGTGACTTTAAGTCTTCTCCCAGAATCCTAGTGAACCTTTTCCACTGAAAACCATTTCTCAGTTGAGTTTCTTCCTACATAATTTGTTTTGAAGAATTATTTTTTTATAAACTCTGGGGTGCCTGGGTGGCTCACTCGGTTGGGCATCCAACTCTTGATTTCAGCTCAGGTCATGATCTCACAGTGTTGTGAGTTCGAGCCCCACCTCAGGCTCTGTGCTGACAGACTGGACCTGCTTGAGATTCCTCCTCTCTCTCTGCCCCTCCCCCACTCGCACTCTCTGTCTCTCAAAATAAATAAACTTAAAAAGAATTATTTTATAAACTCAACTTTGGTTTTGGAAGTTGAGTTTTTAAAAATGTATCATTTTTCATCATCCAAGTTTTAAAATATGGGGGGAAAAACCCCTGTAACACAACCGCAATTATCATCTCACTGTACTTCCTGTTCGTCTTTTCTATCTGGATATTTTCTTTTTTTTTTCTTTTTTTTTTTTTTTAATTTTTTTTAACATTTTATTTTATTTTTGAGACAGAGACAGAGCATGAACGGGGGAGGGGCAGAGAGAGAGGGAGACACAGAATCGGAAGCAGGCTCCAGGCTCTGAGCCATCAGCCCAGAGCCCGACGCGGGGCTCGAACTCACGGACCGCGAGATCGTGACCTGGCTGAAGTCGGACGCTTAACCGACTGAGCCACCCAGGCGCCCCGCTATCTGGATATTTTCAATACCACCATAACTTTGAATTTGTGAGTAAAGTTATTCTAAATAATGTAGGATCAGAATTTGATCTTCAGTATTTGCCATTAAAAAAGGATAAAAACGAAAATGGTAAAATGCTACGCTGTAAATCTAGGTGGATGGTATGGGGTTCATGGCATCCTTCTTACAATTCTGTGTTGTCTGACAATTTTCAAAATAAAAAGTTGGGGGCAAGTGAAAAACCATAGTCTTATTATACAGCGAGAGATGGTCTCACATCTTTCAAAATTAGTAGATTCTACTTTATAGGAGTCTGTGGGGCTCCAGGCCAAATGGTGAGTTTCTGTTCCATTTCTTAGGGAAAATCTCTACAGCAGCTCCCTGGGAGGAGGGGTGGCCACCTCCCCGATGCTGATCGTGTTTCATGGGAAATACTCCACCATCAACCCCCTGTGGCACATACGGCACCTGGGTAAGTATTTTAGGAAGACAACACAAATGTGCACATTCTAGACCTGCGAGCACAAGGCGAGGAGAGTGTGCTATATATAACACCAGCTTCCTGAGATCCAGTCCTCCGGGTGATGTTGGAGGTGATCTTGGACACGTTATTTAACCTCCGCTGCTCAGTCTACAAATGCAGCTGACAAAACTGGCCTTCCTGAGGTGTGTTTCTAGGAATGTGTTTCTAGAAAAGCAATTAGACTCACGCTTAGCATATGGTAGGTGCTCGATAAACATTAGCTATTCTTACAACAAGCCTTTACTGTCAAAACTTTTCCACTTCGCCTTTATTGCCCTCTTGCAGTAGCCTGCAGTGGGCAAAACTGAACAAATTAACACCGTGTTTTGTGAGGAGTTTAGATAGGTGGAGGCTTATCTTTTAAAAAGAAGTTGTTTCCTGATTGTGTAGCATGTCTTGCATTCACTCTTCACCACAAGCATGCAGACTCTTGGGTATGGACTGGAATCCCAGTTCTGCTATTACCCATGTTGGGCAAATTGTTCAACCCTTCTATGCCTTAGTGTCTCCATTTGTAAACTGAAGCTAATTACCTAATACATGTAAATTGCTTAGAACACAGCTTGGCCCAGAAGACGGTCACATACATTCAAACACACGGCCACAATCCCTTAGCCAAAAGCACTGGGCCAGACCTGTTTAGAAATTGGAAAGGTTTTGGGGCGCCTGGGTGGGGCAGTCGGTTAAGCGTCCGACTTCAGCCAGGTCACGATCTCGCGGTCCGTGAGTTCGAGCCCCGCGTCGGGCTCTGGGCTGATGGCTCAGAGCCTGGAGCCTGTTTCCGATTCTGTGTCTCCCTCTCTCTCTGCCCCTCCCCCGTTCATGCTCTGTCTCTCTCTGTCCCAAAAATAAATAAACGTTGGGAAAAAAAAAATTAAAAAAAAAAAAAAGAAATTGGAAAGGTTTTGAATTTCAAAAATGTAATGTAATGCATATATTTATGTTATGCAATACCCTGAGTGGGATCTAGGTTTTGCTACCAAAAAAGTTAAAAAATCCTTTTGTTTTCAGACATTTGAAGATTATTTTAGAATTGGAGACAATAGATTATGGATGTGTATTTACTAAGTACCCTCTACATTGTCAAGAAATGGGCTAGGTTCTGGTGATAAAGGTGAATATTATTTCTAATTCTCAGAACAATCTGCAAGGTGGTATATATGTCCCTTACTCTCCCTTTTAAAAGAAAGGACACATAAAGCCATTGAAGCTGGGCTCCAGTCTCCTTTTAAGGATTCTGTATAGATTTGCTTCTGCCTTACTACCAGAATCCTCCTCGATTTTCTGTATGCACACAGGAGCAACACAGGCAAGTTACGGATTCTAGTGTCCCATCTGATTTATAATGTTAGGTTCCCTATTAGGTCAAATATCAACATTTCCCTGTAATCAATGTGCAGAAAAGCTCATCAAAGTTGTAGGTCTACAAAAAATGTGTAGGAACAGCTATGCGGAGCTTAAATGGATAAGGTTAGAGCATTCTATGATCTTGGAACAGAGACTCACTCACATTTCATGAAATATCTAGCTGGTAAGTAGGGAGGGGCAGAATCTTCCCAAGAGAAAGAAGTCATTTCTCTTTGTAGAACAGAGACTACATCTGTGCGGAAGGTTTTGGAATCCGGGAAGTCTGCAAAGTAAATCTACACAGAAATCATTTGAAAAATGATTTGGCTTTAGAGTGTTTTGGAAGCAGGAAGCAATGTAACACTAATGGGTATTAAGTCTGGGTCTAAGCTGGTAGGCTTAAGACATAAAAAATTTATGAAACGTATTTAGCTAAAGCAAACTGCAAGCCCATATAGAATCCTCCAATCATGGAGCAGAGAGATGATGTCTCACTCAGTGAAGACTCTAAGTTGCTTCCTCCTGGGGTGCCTGGGCAGCTCAGTCAGTTAAGCATCCAGCTTATCACCTCAGGTCATGATCTCATGGTTCACGGGATTGAGCCCTTGTGTGGGGCTCGTGCTGAAAGCAGAGTCTGCTTGAGATTCCCCCTCTCCCTCTCTCTCTGCCCCTCCCCTGCTTGTGTTCTCTCTTACAACAAATAAACATTAAAAAAAAATAGAGGCGCCTGGGTGGCTCGGTCGGTTAAGCGTCCGACTTTGGCTCAGGTCATGATCTCCCAGTTTGTGAGTTCGAGGTCCGTGTTGGACTCTGTGCTGACAGCTCGGAGCCTGGATCCTGCTTCAGATTCAGTGTCTCCTTCTCTCTGTCCCTCCCCCACTTGTGTTTTTTCTCTCTCAAAAATAAACATTAAAGAAAAAAATTAAGGTGCTTCTTCCCAAATGAACATTTCCTTTGTATAGATTCTCTGAAAGTTGATAATTATTCCAGTTACATAACCATAGCCTGAAACACCCAGCTTCTCTTCTGTAACTGCCTTCACAGCTATGTTTATGAATAACGGAAGATGGATTTTTATTTTTATTTTTCTTGTATCATATGTTAAGCTAGAATAACACAACTCCAGCTATTCACCACCTTCTCTTTCCTTAATGGATTTTTAAAAAACATGTCAAATTCCTTTCATAGGAAGAAAACTTAACATCATAGAGGATATCAAAAAAATTACGTTCTCAAGATCTTAAAGCACTTCTGGAAGAGAGGTTCTAAAAATACTCTGGCAATTTTGGGATAAACACACCCTGACTCCTTATGAGTGGAATAATATTCAAATGGAGATAGTTTTGTGTTAAAAAGTGAATATTATTCTTTGTCACGCTTCATAAGGTAAAAACACGACTGTTACAGGAAAATGTCGTCGTACACACTAAGGAGGGAAAATGCAGAGAAACAAGAACTCCTATAAACTCTATGTGGGAGGGAAACTGATCCAACTTCTTTTGGGAACAATCTGGCAACCTCTTATCAAAATGTAAAGGCATATGCGCCCTTCAGTCTAGCAAGTCCATCTGCAAGGCTTTACCCCACAAATGTATCTGTAGACACACACAAACCTGCACAGGAGCCTGTTCACTGTGCCACTGCTTATGTTAGTGAGGGGACAGGAACAACCTAAATGTCCTTAATAAGGAACTCAATAAATGATTATAGGGGCGCCTGGGTGGCGCAGTCGGTTAAGCGTCCGACTTCAGCCAGGTCACGATCTCGCGGTCCGTGAGTTCGAGCCCCGCGTCGGGCTCTGGGCTGATGGCTCAGAGCCTGGAGCCTGTTTCCGATTCTGAGTCTCCCTCTCTCTCTGCCCCTCCCCCGTGCATGCTCTGTCTCTCTCTGTCCCAAAAATAAATAAACGTTGAAAAAAAAAAAAACTTTAAAAAATAAAAAATAAATGATTATATATGCATTCCATGTAGCCATTAAAAATAATTCAGTAACTTTGGGGCGACTGGGTGGCTCAGTCGGTTAAACATCTGACTCTTGATTTTGGCTCAGGTCATGCTCTCACAGTCCGTGGGTTCGAGTTCCGCATTAGGTTCTGTGCTGACAGCACGGAGCCTGCTTTGGATTCTGTCTCCCTCCCTCTTTCTCAAAAATGAACATTTAAAAACAATTCAGTAACTCCACATGTGCTATATTACACACACACACACACACACACACACACACACACTGGCATACAGGTAGAATATTTGTAGGAGGATTTCATGAGAAACTCTAACAGTGGTTATTTTGGAGATTTAGGGGAGGTGGTAAATTCTTCCATGTATACTCTTTGATTCGCTTAATTTTTTAAATAATGAACTTGTACTCATTCAATATAAAAAGTTTGCTTTCTAACAAGCCTATTATTTTCTTCTGAATACAATGAAGGCTGGAATCCAGATACCAGATATTCGGAGCATTTTCTGCAGGAAGCAAAATTACTCCACTGGAATGGAAGACATAAACCCTGGGACTTCCCTAGTGTTCACAACGACTTATGGGAAAGCTGGTTTGTTCCTGACCCCGCAGGGATATTTAAACTCAATCACCACAGCAGCTGATGTAACGACATTTTATATATTCCCTGTATAAAAATGTGGAATTGTCCATTTATAGCCCTCCTATATCATTGTTCTTTATGAACAGTACCTTTGGTACAAATGATCCACAATGTAAAACACAAAGACTACTGTGGGCAAATAGTACCCTGGATTACGTAGGTACTGATTCCTTAAGTGTAAGTGGTAATTATGGAAATCAAGATGATGTGAGTGAGATATATTGTTGGAAGGAAATAAACCCACCTAGGTTTCAGCAATCAATTTGCTTAACTCTCAATGACAACCTGTACCCACAAGTTTTTAAAATTTCTCAATGTGTTTTTCACACATAGGTATTTTTTCACAGGTTGCCAGTCTTGTCTTTTGTAAAACAACAAACTACATTTAAAACATGAATGTATGTAAAAATAAAAGATATGCAGATTTTTAAATGATTTGCAGTACATATATTATTCAATGCCTTAAACATAACACAAGGTAGACGGATCTGAGGCGTAAAGGGGCAAAGAATACCGGTCACTTCTGCCGCAGAAAAACCTGCAACTTAGGATAATCGTTCTTGGTATTTTTATTGTAAAAACCATCAGACTTCCAAATGAATTTAAAAACCTTTCCAATATTATTTAATGAAAAAGTCTCATATTGTCACATAGGGGATATATCAACGTTTACTACTCATCTGTCAAATGTAATGAAAAACACCATTGTTGTATGCTTGGAAAATCCTCAAACCCATTCTCTAATGAGGGTCCATTATAATTTTAAGGGTATTTTCTCCAGTCAGATTAAAAAAAAAAAATCTATTGTAAAGCTACAATCATTATATACCAAAGCAATTCCTACTTCCATGCTTTACATAGTCCCATGAAAAAATAATTCCATTGTTCCTAATCCCTGATGCAAGGCACTTCAAAGCACCCGCATGAAACATCCATGTAAACAGCAGTACAGTACATGAGTTAAATAACATGAATGACTTTTACACAGCTTGACCTAGACTAAAAGAAATATAAAATCCATCATAGCCACAGCTAAAAAGTATGTTAAGATTCACAAGAATTTGTTTCTCTTATCATAATAGAGAAGAACAAGCCATATAATCTCTTAAGAAAAAAAAAAAACACCTCATAAATATTTTCATATTGAAAAACAGCATGCTCCCTGGGTATGTATGAAATCAGGATATTCAGAAGCGACCAGGAGTTAATTGCAAATGGCATTTCTGAATACCCAGCTTTACTATCCACCAGGCCTAGTAGTCTGGACTATCTGTAGCACCATGGAAAAGGCATTAGAAAATCACACAAGTACGTTACTTCAAACTAACCCTGCCACGAGGCTCACTTAAGTCCACAGTAACAGCAATGACGCAGAGAAAAATTTTTAAGTGACAGCTTATTAGATTCACATAGCAAGAAAAATTCTGTTATTTTAATACATCTCACGTACATAAAGCACCAGTTTAAATAAGATTATCAAACACCCCAGCTTCTTGTTGCTCAGCCTGAGTTCATTTCTCACCACTTTCCATGTTACGTCCTTAAAGCCAAGGAGGTGCTAGATACCGTAAGAAAAATTCAGTTCCTTCCCTATCAAATGTATGTCTCTCAAGTAAAACACAGAAGAAATAACAAACTTTAAAAGGTCTACTGCATTCTCTGGAATTTACCATTCCAGCAGGGCAGTTTCTGCCTATACGAGAGGATTAACACGCAGGGGTGAGGAGGCCAAAGGCAGGGCTCAGCGCCCTGTCAGAGAAGGCTGGGTGAGGCCACACTTGACATTTCTACGGCTGAGCAACTCTCCCAAACCCTCCCTGCTGGTGAGGCCAAGGGGTCTGAGGGTGAGTACGCCTCAGGGAGCCCGTCAAACACCGCTAGACAGCACCACATGGGACTCCCCTGGGGGTTAGCTTCACATATAGAATTCAACACATCTGCCTCTCGACCGGTGCTAATTATTATTAGCATGCCCTTCTTAGGCATAAAAGGAATAATGGTATATCTGGGTTTATGCACAGTTCATAATCAAGTATAAATATTCGGACAGTTACATTTTAAAATTACAGATTAAAAGTGACTCCCAAAAGAAAATCAATTTCTTCATAATGAAATATACTTTATAAAAAGCTGGAATGGTGGTTAATTCAAATACAAAAACTCATACACAAAAAACCGTGCTTTTTTCTTCCAAGCTTACTCAGGTTCATACAGTTGATTCTACCACACAACCGTAATATGATTATATCACCAGAATAAAATACGAATAAACTGCTTCAGTTAGCCCCTTCTTGGCTACTGCATTAAAACTGCAGCATTTAGGTAGAGCTGAGAAACACCAGTCTTAAGCATGGTTTCCTTCTTCCTGTTCTGGAGTCCCGCAGTGATTATTAAAGGAAGGAATCTGGTCTGTAAACGACTGGGTCATCCACTGCCCATTTGGAATGTCACTGAAAGTTGATTCTCCACTGTCAGCTGCCAGGGTGGGGAGAAGAAGGTTAGTTCATTCTCTCTAAAAAGCTTTACACGATTCATCAAGAGATGTTAGCAGTCCAGCGGAGGAGTAATAAATTTCTGTTCTCTTGGCAGATACAGGACTAAGAAACCCTTAATGGTCATTCAGGGAGGGAATGTGATTAGAATGACGTAACGACTTAATGAAAATGAGCTGCTAACACCTACGTGGTGAAACCTCAGATAACCATCACATTTCACTGTCACTAAAAAGACTTTCATAGTACCATTCCCACACTGCAATCATTCATTCTCTTTTAAAAAAATAAAGTGCATTTCCCCAGTCCTGACAAAACCAAGTGTTTGAAAGAAACAAACAGGGGTTCCTGGGTGGCTCAGTTGGTTGAGCATTCGACTCTTGATTTCAGCTCAGGTCAGGACCCCAGGGTCGTGAGATCGAGTCCTGGTGTAGGCTCTGCACTGGGTATGGAACCTGCTTGAGATTCGTTCTCTTTCTCCTTCTGCCCCTCCCCTGCTAGTGCGCGTGAGCAAGAAAGAAAGAGAGGAAGAGAGAAAGACAGACACGTACGGAGGAACATACTTAGCCCATTGGAAGAGAAGCTGCAAGGGTCACTATTGCACGGATTTTCAGTATAAGCACCGCCATACGCTGCTTCATAACCTGGATCGTATTTTTCTTCCTTAACAGCCATCTTCTTTGCATCCTCTGTGGAGAGGGTAAAAGGGATTTACAGCTGTTTTTGTACAACGGTTCTGAAAACAGCTTTATTCAGAAATCCTCATGAACAAATCTTCTTCCTGAATGTTCAAGTGTGCTGAGATCTATCTTTTGTTGCCATCTTTTAAACTCTTTACAACATTTATTAAATTAACTCATCGGAACTGTAAAAGCCTATCAGATTTAATTTCCGGTAGGCTATGTTGCTTCTTCTATCTTCGACATCTGTAGGAGCACCCACGACAGATGGGTAACTTTGGTAAAAGGAGATTTTAACAGTGACTAACATCCGTTGTCAGAACACTCTGGCTGACGATGTAACTGTTCCCCTTTCTCTTGCTTTTAAACTCACAATGTGCGTGTGTTCAGTAGTGTATATATCCATGACACCCAAAACCAGGGCAAAAATGGAAACATACCTTGGGCCAGCTGTAGATCAAATGTATATTGCACCTCCTGAACGTCTGTATTTCGTTCAATGCCTTTCAATTGATCTCGTAAGTCTTTCAGCTTAATGTAGTAATGAACTTTGTCCTGGGCTCGAGGAAACTGAGCACATCTCGCACTGGATGATGGCATAACATAGCAGAGCTAAAATCGTAAAATTTTACAGTTACATAAATGTTACAAATCTATTGAGTCCACTCACATTGAGATTTAAAAATTTATCTTTGGGGGGATTAATTATGATGCCTATCACATATTAATATATGTAAAATCAGTAACGGTAGTTTTGTCTCGAGTTAAAATTTGTAAAATTTACTTATTGCAAAGTCAATAAATCAAAATAATGAGGCTTTCCCCCCATGTTCATTTACCAATTAACAGTCTTGTCTTTTTAACAGTGAACATATGGTTCACAATTCTAAAGGCACAAAAGAAGTATACAATGAAAAGTATTCCCCCCAATTCTGTCTCTGTCCACCCAGTTCTCTTCCCAGAGGCAATCAAAGTTGCTGGTTCCAGAGGTATTCTATGAATATAGAATCAAATGTCTCTAATACATGTACTCTCCCTCACCCTTTTCAAAAAACACACAAATGATAACATGTTCTCTATTCCCTGTTCTACACCTTGCTTTTTTACTCAACAATGTAATCAGAGACAATTCTGTATCAGATATCTAGAGCAAAGTAAAAAGACTTTTTTTTTAATGTTTTATTTATTTTTGAGAGAGAGAGAGAGAGAGAGAGAGCGAGTGCATGAGTAGGGGGAGGGGCAGAGAGGGAGATACAGAATCCAAAGCAGGCTCCAGACTCCAAGCTGTTAGCACAGAGCCCGACACGGGGCTCAAACTCACAAACTATGAGATCGTGACCTGAGCTGAAGTTGGACACCCAACTGACTCAGCCACCCAGGTGCCCCTAGACTTTCTTTTTTTGCAGCTGTGTAGTACTTGCATACTTATTTAACCAAGACCCAGCTGTGGGCATTTAGGTTGTTTCCAGTCTTTTATTATTATAAGGTGTAGTGAAAAAGCTTGTACATATTTCATTTTGAATATGTGTGAGTGTATCTCTTGGATAAATTCCTAGAAGTGCAATGCCCAGCAGAAAAACATTTACATTTATCATTTTGGATAACGGTGACAAATTGTTCTTCATAGAATACTAAATATATAACAATATATATCACATGTATATCAAAGAGTGAGGCTGTTAGTTTACAGAATTTCCAGTTGCAATTTCTTGCACTTTTTTTTATATTGGCCTCCATAACATTATAGAAAACAAATTATTGATTTTCTTTTGTGTAGAAAGCATTTAGAAACTCCTGACTCATAAATATATGTAGGTGCAAATGCTACCAGGTTGTGTAGTAGCACTTTTTCGACTCCTAAGATATTCTTCAATTAAAAAGATCCAGAAATTTGAAAGTTTTTTTGTGTTTCAAAGAAGAGTCACTAACATCAACAACTGTTAAAATCTCATGATAAAGAATATATTTTAAAAGATAAAAATACTCTCAGCTCAACATAAGAGCTAAAATTACCTATCATGATAGGATTCAAATTCAGTTAGTACTACCCTATTACGGGCACAAATACCCAAGAGATGTACCTGAGCCTCATTTGGCTCTTAAGGGACAATAATGAGGTAATCTATAGGAAGCAATGAACTCACCTGTACAATTTTACTAAAGTAGGTAAGTGTAGGCCTTGGTTTAAACAAAGACCAGGGCTACCACCTACTCTGTCAACGACATATTTGTAACAAGTTAAAGACAGAAGAAATTTAAAAAG